CCAGTACACCAGTAATCCCGTTTAACCCCTTGATCGCCCCTCCCCCTCCAGTTAACCCCTTCACTGCCCTGTCACCCAGTGTCACTGATCAGTGAACCAATTTTTACTGATCACTGTATCAGTGTCGCTGGCGACTTCCGATAGAGTTAGCGCCCCTCCCAGATAGCGCCAGTTTGCCCGCCAGTACACCAGTAATCCCGTTTAACCCCTTGATCGCCCCCCCCCCAGTTAACCCCTGCACTGCCCTGTCACCAGTGTCACTGATCAGTGAACCAATTTTTACTGATCACTGTATCAGTGTCGCTGGCGACTTCCGATAGAGTTAGCGCCCCTCCCAGATAGCGCCAGATTGTCCGCCAGTACACCAGTAATCCCGTTTAACCCCTTGATCACCCCCCCCCCTCCAGTTAACCCCTTCACTGCCCTGTCACCAGTGTCACTGATCAGTGAACCAATTTTTACTGATCACTGTATCAGTGTCGCCGACTTCCGATAGAGTTAGCGCCCCTCCCAGATAGTGCCAGTTTGCCCGCCAGTACACCAGTAATCCCGTTTTAACCCCTTGATCGCCCCCCCCCCCCCAGTTAACCCCTTCACTGCCCTGTCACCAGTGTCACTGATCAGTGAACCAATTTTTACTGATCACTGTATCAGTGTCGCTGGCGACTTCCGATAGAGTTAGCGCCCCTCCCAGATAGCGCCAGCTTGCCCGCCAGTACACCAGTAATCCCGTTTAACCCCTTGATCGCCCCCCAACCCCCCCCCCAGTTAACCCCTTCACTGCCCTGTCACCAGTGTCACTGATCAGTGAACCAATTTTTACTGATCACTGTATCAGTGTCGCTGGCGACTTCCGATAGTGTTAGCGCCCCTCCCAGGTAGCGCCAGTTTGCCCGCCAGTACACCAGTAATCCCGTTTTTAACCCCTTGATCACCCCCCCCCCCAGTTAACCCCTTCACTGCCCTGTCACCAGTGTCACTGATCAGTGAACCGATTTTTACTGATCACTGTATCAGTGTCGCTGGCGACTTCCGATAGTGTTAGCGCCCATCCCAGATAGCGCCAGATTGCCCGCTAGTACACCAGTAATCCCATTTAACCCCTTAATCTCCCCCCCAGTTAACCCATTCACTGCCCTGTCACCAGTGTCACTGATCAGTGAACCGATTTTTACTGATCACTGTATCAGTGTCGCTGGCGACTTCCGATAGTGTTAGCGCCCCTCCCAGATAGCGTCAGATTGCCCGCCAGTACACCAGTAATCCCGTTTAACCCCTTGATCACCCCCCCTCCAGTTAACCCCTTCACTGCCCTGTCACCAGTGTCACTGATCAGTGAACCAATTTTTACTGATCACTGTATCAGTGTCGCTTGCGACTTCTGATAGTGTTAGCGCCCCTCCCAGATAGTGCCAGTTTGCCCGCTAGTGCACCAGAAATCCCATTTAACCCCTTGATTGCCCCCCTCCCCCCCCCCCAGTTAACCCCTTCACTGCCCTGTCACCAGTGTCATTGATTACAGTGAACAGATTTTTACTGATCACTGTATTAGTGTCACTGGTGACTTCCGATAGTGTTAGCGCCCCTCCTAGATAGCGCCAGTTTGCCCGCTAATGCATGGGATTTTTTTACCAAAAACATGTAGCAGAATACATTTTGGCTTAAATTTATGACTAACTTTGAGTTTACGATATATTTTTATAGCTGAAAGTAGAAAATATTGTTTTTTTTCAATATTTTTGTGGTTTTTTTGTTTATAGCGCAAAAAATAAAAAGCGCACAGGTGATCAAATACCACCAAAAGAAAGCTCTATTTGTGTGAAAAAAAGGACGTAAATTTCGTTTGGGTACAGCATTGCATGACTGTGCAATTATCATTTGAATTAGTGCAGCGCTGTATAGCAAAAAAAGGCATAAATTACAGCATCTATACGATAGTTTGTAGACGCTATAACTTTCACACAAAGCAATCAATATACACTTATTGGGATTTTTTTTTACCAAAAACATGTAGCAGAATACATTTTGGCTTAAATTTATGACTAACTTTGAGTTTACGATATATTTTTTATAGCTGAAAGTAGAAAATATTGTTTTTTTTTCAAAATTTTCGTGGTTTTTTTTGTTTATAGCGCAAAAAATAAAAAGCGCACAGGTTATCAAATACCACCAAAAGAAAGCTCTATTTGTGTGAAAAAAAGGACGTAAATTTCGTTTGGGTACAGCATTGCATGACCGCGCAATTATCATTTGAATTAGTGCAGCGCCAAACAGCAAAAAAAGGCCTGGTCATTAAGGGGGGTAAATCCTCTGGGGCTCAAGTGGTTAAACTAATAAGGCATATAAATGGCATAGTGAGGTTTATTTACTAAAACCAGAGAGTGCAAAATCTGGTACAGTTCTGCACAGAAACCAATCAGCTTCCAGGTTTTATTGTCAAAGCTTAACTGAACAAGCTGAAGTTAGAAGCTGATTGGCTCCCATGCGCAGCTGAACCAGATTTTGCACTCTCCAGTTTTAGTAACCCCAATGTGTTCATTTTCATGATCTAAATTGTTGAAAACGACTCCTATTTATCACCACTTCAGATCCATCGAAACAGGTGCCAAAAATTAGAACTCTTTTAGGTCTAGTTTATACTTGGGGTTAGTGGGAAAAAAACAGCAGTTGAACATATAGGCAAAGACCAGGCTTTCTGAAACAATGTATTGAAAGCTGATTAATCAAAGATAAAGTTGTTTGATCAAAGTACCTAAAGAACAAAGGTATACCGCTCAGGTAAACAATCCAGATCAATCCACGACAGGTGCAGGCTCTGGCTCACCATCACACACTATGTAACAGGAAGAAGAGTCAGCAGCACACCGGAGGATAGATGAATATAGTGTGTATTTATTGATCCATAGGACACACAAAACACCAGGACATGAATACAGGACCTCACGCTTAATCATAACCATTGTTATCATAACGATTTTTCCTTCAAAATGAAGACAGCATTACAGGAGAAGAACTTTATCACAACTGTGAAGCATGGTGGTGGATATGTTATAGTTTGGGGATGCTTCAGAGCCTAGGTAGTGCACCTTCATTGAGTGGACTACTGTATACATTTAATTTTTATACCAAAGTGTGCATGAAGATAATACAAGGCCATCTGTCCACAAGTTAAGGTGGAGCCAGAAATCCACTAGTAAGTCCACCAAGGAATGTCTAAACAAAAAGAAATGTAGGGTTTTAGACTTCCCTAGTCAAACACTGATTTGATTCCTATTGAAATTATATGGGGAGGTTGAAAGGTACATTCCCCACAAGAAAATCTACAAACATTGCAACTGAAGGAATTTTGCAGGGAGAAGTGGTCAATGTCAAAGATTGGTGGGTGGTTAAAATGCCTACAGAATGGACTTTCTGCTGATGGAACAAACACCAGGTTTCATGTTAAGAGTAAAATTAGTTTTTCCACACTATACACATAATAATATTGATATTATGTTATATAAATAATAGGAAAGACCCATTTTCTTCAGTTCTCATTCATGTATATCACCTTTACCTGTAGACACAGTTTGATATAAAGATCTAAAGTTTGTTAAAATATGTTGAAAGAGTCAACACTTTCTATGAGGTGTACCTAATTTTTCACATGACTGTCTTTCGTTTACCTGCTTCCCACCCAGCCTATAATCAAATGACAGCTGGGAGAACCTCTTGTCCCTCCGGGAAGGCATCATATGATGTCTTTCCCAGATTGCACTGTGAGCCTGCCCGCAGGGCCGCTCTGTAATGAGATCTGTCACAGGCCGTGTACCTCAGACACGGCCAGTGACAGATCTGTGTACTGGCCCCATTGCCAGTACCATGTGACCTGCTGTGACCAATCATAGCAAGCCACAGGACAGTTGTATACAATGGATGGCTTCCTTTCATGCCATCCTTTGTATACACCTGAGTCTAGCTGTGAATGGTCACAGTGATCACATTACAGCCCATCTGTGTCATGTGATTAGCCATGGCCAATCACAGCTAACCCCAACACAATAACCTGAATTAATTGATTTCATTCAGTGAAATGCTTGCTTATAGCAAAGCAATCCTCCAAGGTAAGTATTTCTCCTTCACAGAAAGGCTAGTATGTGGTCCTTCAATGATTTGTCCTGAAAAGAAGAGCTCAGCAAATGGGAGGAGACGGCTGGGAGCAAGTCGGTACTGTTCGTGTGTCTAGGTCACATTTGCCGGTCTCCAATAGCTGAAGCAGTGTTCCAGAAGTTGGTATCTGATCCGGGTGTATCACATGACCTCTCCTTTTTGAGGATATGTCATTGAAGGATCACATACTAGTTTTTCTGTGAAGTTGTGGAGGATTTCACGGATGTCTTCTTTTCCACATTGGGATGTCACTTCACTCTATGACTGCCATTCATACTAATTGTGGGCGCAGTTTCAATATTATAGAGCACTTTTTGTGCTGAAGGACATTTGATTGAAGGCTTTTCTATACATTTACTTTTACCTTTAACCACTTGCCTACCGAGCACTTATACCCCCTTCCTGCCCAGGCCAATTTTCATCTTTCAACACTGTCACACTTTGAATGACAATTGCGCAGTCATGCAACACTGTACCCATATGAAATTGTTATCTTTTTTTTTTAGACAGATAGAGCTTTCTTTTGATGATATTTACTCACCTCTGGGTTTTTTATTTTTTTGCTAAACAAACCAAAAACCACTGATTTTTTTTTGAAAAAAAGTTTTTTCTTAGTTTTTGTTAGAAAATGTTGTAAATATGTGATTTTTCTCCTTCACTGATGTGCGCTAATGAAGCTGCAGTGATGGGCACTGATAGGCTGCACTGATGAACACTGATAGGTGGCACTGATGGGCACTGATGAGGAGGCACTGGATTGGTGGCACTAATGGGTATTGACAGGCATCACTGATGGGCACTGAAAGGCGGCACTCATATATGGCACTGATAGGTGGCAATGATAGGTGGCACTGATAGGCGGCACTGACTGGCACTGATAGGCGGCACTGACTGGCACTGATAGGCGGCACTGACTGACACTTTTAGGTGGCGATGACTGACACTTTTAGGTGGCACTGACTGGCACTGTTAGGTGGCACTGACTGGCACTGTTAGGTGGCACTGATAGGCAGCACTGATGTGCACGGATAGGCTGCACTGACTGGCACTGATAGGCGGCACTGACTGGCACTGATTGGCAGCACTGACAGGTAGCACTGACTGGCATTGGTAGGTGGCACTGACTGGCACTAATAGGTGACACTGAAAGCAGCTCAGATGGGCACTGATATGTGGCATTGATGTGCACTGGTAGGCACTGATATGTGCCCTGATGATCAGTGAAGATGTCCCCTCTGAGTAAAGCCGATTATCGGCTCTCCTCTCCTCTGTCAGCGTGACAGCTCATGAGGAGAGAAATGCCCATAACCGGCATTTCCCTATTTACATGTGATCAGCTGTGATTGGACACAGCTGATCACATGACCGAGCCAAGAGCTTCAGCTCTTTCCGTTGATCGGTGATCTGCTGTGTCCGATGTTTAATCGGATGTTTAACATTAGATGTTTAATTATCTATTCAAGTTTTTATGATTGCACATTTATATTGTTTTTGGTGTGTAACAACACTCATTGGTTGCAAAGTATATCAGATTGCATACGAATTGTATGATGATTACTTTAGTCACATAGCCCAGCACTTTTATTTTTGTTTATTGTGTTATGGAGTGGGTTCACCATTTGTGCTAGCTGCTTTTTGCATTTTGTTTTTCTCTTAGCGCTCACTTGATTTTGCTTTTTGAGTACTTAACAAAAAAATTAAGTAAAATGCATCAAAAACTATTTTATGTTTTCTTTAAAGGAGACCTTGGTGGAGATGAAGTACCACAAATCAGCCTTGCCAGATGTCAACCGGTTTTCTTTTTTTTACGGTGTTAGTGAGAAAGCAGTGAAGCCATCAGATCATCAGACCAGTGTTTTCAGATGAGTGGTCAGCAATGGCAGTCTCCATAATTGTGCATTACTTTTTTTCCTTTAAAGTGTATGTAAGGGCTCTTTTTTTAGTTTTGTATTGGGCAAGGAGGGGTTAGTACTCCTGTCAGGTTTTCATTGCTGTCTGTGTCCCACTGGAGAGATTGTGTATAGTATGCATGATCATTTGGATATTGAGCTGGAAAGAACTAAAAGAAATCATTTTATATACCAGTGTTAGTGGCCGGTCAATAAATGTGTACTTATAACTTGTATTATGTGGTGGGGATTATATTGTTCTGTTATGCCTCAATGATCTATGGTTCTGCTGTTAAGTGAACAATGCTGGTTAATGACCTATTGAAATAAAAAATAAATACATGCAATACTCAAAAGGATACTAAGAATATCTCCACTTTACTGTCTCCTACTTTCTGTATTTCTACATACAGAAAAGATGTTTGATTCATTAAAGTGTTACTAAACCCAGGACCCTGCATTCACTATATCTGGTCTCCCCGGACCCTGCATTCACTATATCTGGTCTCCCACAATACACACAATGCAATTATTTTAATAAATATAAACTGCTAAATATCTTTTCTCATCAGGATTTAGAACAGACTTGTGACTTCTATCAGTGTCCAGCACAGCACTGGTTAATATTGTAGGAGGAGTTTTCATTCTCTTCTGACTGCCCTATGAGGCTGCATGACCCCTGACCTTCTTTCTGGACAGTGCTGATTGGCCCTGTGCTAATCACATGCAAAAAAAAAAACCTCTCTAGTGATACACACCAAACTGAGCATGTGCAGAGTGTATCCTAGGGCTCTGTACTATCAGCAGATGGACTGGGGACAGAAAAAGAAGAGAATCAGAGAAGACAGGTTCAAACAGCCTTTTTTATATAATGCAGAGGATTAACAGCTTAGGTTCCACAGGGAGTATAACAAAAATGCTTTACTACAGGGGTCTCCAAACTATGGCCCATTAGCTGTTGAAGTACTACAAGTCCCATCATGCCTTTGCCTCTGGGAGTCTTGCCTGTGGCTGTCCGAGTCTTGCAAGGCCTCATGGAACTTGCAGTTCCTCAACACCTGGAGGGCCATAGTTTGGAGACCCCTGCTTTATTACATATACAGACTGTAACACTTTAAAGATGTTCTGTGCTAGAGCTACAGCTTTATTGATGGTATAAATTATTGGGTACAATCTTGTGCCAAAACAGAAATATTTATCAGATATATAGCTTTGGTTGCTTAGGGGGCACCATTATCCCTTCTTATTAAATACATACACACCATTTACCAAAAATGGGATGTTTTAAATACCTAGTCATACAAAATTTTCACAGGATTTCACCTCAAGCACAGGATTGTTAAAATTTTAATGTTTGAGGCCATAAAAATATTAAAAAGTGTATACAAAATCTACTTATAAAAGCATGTGTCACAGTGTATTGTAGTTGTTCCCCCTTCACAAAATATATATATACTGATTGACACTCTCCTTGAACAGTTGTATGAACTTGATATTTTGGAAGCTTCAGGGAGAGTTCCAAGATATCTCACGCAATGCATTTTGTGGGTACCAAGACAACACTTCTTCAGGTGCTGAGAAACTCTAAATCACAAGTCGGTGAACACCTATTAGTATTTAGACAATAAAACTCTTCTGACTGTGAAAACAATTTTTAATTTTTAATGGGCATTGCATGAACTGCCATATTTAGGTATTCATATAACTCCAGCACTCCACACATTATATGAAAAAAAAATACCCTCCACTATATAAAAAAACTGACAGAGGATATGGAAAAATGGAGAATTATCCCTCCCTCTTGGTTTGGTAGCAATTATACCGTTAAAATTTCCTTTCAAGATTGGTGTATTTATTTAAGACATTACCTATTAAATTTCTAAACAGGATCTCAAAAGATTAAGACAAAACACTAAAATTTATATGGGGAGATAAGAGACCCAGGGGCCATTCACTAAAGGTTACCCCATGTGATAACATGATCACGTGACTTATTTGCATAAATTATTGAATGAGATAATAAAAGAGTCAATTCATCAAAGTGAAATATCGAATGTGAGGAAAATACTGCACATTTGTTAAATTAGTGAGATAAATACCACAAAAAAAATGAGATAAATCATTAAAGTCAATTAATTAAAAAAATGATATAACATTCGTTATTTATCATCAGGTGTTTGCTGGCAATATTTTAGAAATGTAGGAAATAACAGAGGAGCTCTGCACTGGCCAGAAAGTGAAAAGTATACAATGTGTCAGTGTGAAAATTTTCTCCTCTGAGCTCAGGAAGGGAAATAAAATGTTACATTTGATCAAAGGGAGATCATTGTTGTGAATGAAAGCGCACAACAATGTTTTCATAGTTTCACAGAATTGCTGTGTGCATTCTGGTGCAATGTTAGCCTGAAAAAAAACCCACCAAACATAATGCCAAATTTAAGCTAAATATCAGAATACTGTAGATATTTAACATATTCAGTAAATAACACGTCTTTTAGTGAATTAACTACTTTTGAAACAAATACCACATGAGTTATTTTAACTCAACAATTCATGCAGTATTTATCTCTTAGTGAATTGATCACCCAGAGTGAATAAACTTACCTGAAAAACAATAAAATAAAAAAGGGGGTCTAGGAAGTCCAAATTTACTTAAATATTTTCAGGCTACACAACTAGCAAAAAAAAAAAAAACATTAAAAAAACCCCATCAAAAATAATGCCGAATTTAAGCTAAATATGGCAAAACATAGATATTTAACGTATTCGGTAAATGACATGTCTTTTAGTGAATTGACTACTTTTAAAATAAATATTGCTTGGGTTATTTTAACTCAAAAATGTATGCAGTATTTAGCTTAGTGAATTGACCCCCCGAAGTGAATAAACTTACCTTAAATACTGTAAAATAAAATGGGGATCTAGGAGATCCAAATTTACTTAAATATTTTCAGGCTACACAACTAGCACAGCTAGTTGAATTTCATTCAAATAATCCTCTCCATACATGGATGCAAATAGAATCGTCCTCTTGTAGCCCTAAATTGAATAATCACCTTATGTGGTTTCCTAAAAGATAGAAATCACCCCAAAAAAATATTGTGTTTCTCACGAGCAATACCGTGTATACTTAAGCCCCCCTAAACTAGTGAAAGCTGCTCACACTACTCGCATACTCATAACATGTGCGTAAAAAATATACAATAAAAATACAATGCAGCGCTTCTCTATTCACATAAACCAATTCTATGTGCAAAATATATTCAACATAAATCAACTATTGTGAACATGTGTCAATGCAAAGTCTCTCAACATTTCTTCAACTTAAATCAGCAATCTCTCCAACTGGGATAAGCCTTCAGTCTTCATATAAATTAATTCCTCCACCAAACAACCACCAGATGTGCCCTCACGTGGGGTTTTTGTCCTCACATCACGCTAGGTCAAAAAACTAATGCGTCCCAAGAAATGGACATATAAAGGTGTACGTCTACACACTGCAGAATCTTCCTCCATAAACCACCACTTTCTAAAAAAGCTCCTCCTCCACTCCACATATATGATATAAAAGATAGGGAACACAATAGTGCTTTATCCTAAAGCAACTCAATTTTATCAAAAGCTTTAACAGCGGCCACTCACATTTTTTCTTTGATAACCTGATTCTTGATAACCTTGGATTATGGAGCAAATTGGGAGACCATTGAGAAGATATACACCGATGTTCCAAACCCTTAAAAAACAGAGAACGCATTAGACCTTCTTTTAATTAAGAGGTCATGGATGGTTGGTGAGTGCAATGTATTCGCTTATGGTGTTGGAGCACAAAGGATCTGTATGAAGCAATATATATATACCAGAAGATTATGCACTGTTTTTGATCCACAATTTGGTGTGGGACTTTCGTTTATGGACTTGCTGATTTATATAATTTTAGGTTTTGTATGTTTTACCACAGTCTGAATATTGTTTATATATCATGTATGTGAAGTGCCATACCTTACTTCAATATTTGATCACAAGTGATTTTGCAATTTACCCCTTGACACTGACGTAACACAAATATGCGGCCTCACAGAACTGGTCTTTTTCCTGTGGGCCACATATTTACGTACCTGTCTTTGTATTGGGAGCTCCCAGCACAAAGACCGTGGTGTCACTGAGAGCACCGGGTCTACGATCAGGAACAGGGACTCCCGATTCCAGGTCACATGATCATTGTGATAGCCTTTGATTGGCTATCACAGTGATCAGTCATTGTGCAGCCCAGCCCCCTTGTTTTTTTTTCTCTCTATGAATGGAGGAGAGAGATACATTGTATCTCTCTAACTCCTGGCATAGAGAGAAAAAAAAAGTTTGTAAAAAAAGAAAAAAAAGATAAATAAATAAATATTAAATAATAAAATAAAAAATAAAGAAAATATAACTAGATCAAGGTTTGATCTAGTTCAGTGCCAGGGTTAGTGTT